GGAATAAAAATAAAGAAAAATAGATAGGTATATTTATAGAGATAGATTGCAACTTATATATTGATATACATGTATATACATGATATACATGTATGTATATATAAATAGATAAGTAAGTAGATATAAAGAGGGTGTGTGAGAGAGAGCGAGTGAAAGAGAAGAAGAGAGAGGTACATATATAATATATATAGATAGGCAAACATATAGATTGATGGTTGATTAATCAGATAGACTTATAATTAGTTAAATTGTCAGAAGTCAATGATATGATAATGATATTTGATAAGTGGAGGTGCAAATAAACAGATAGGAAGGAAGGTAAATATACCCAAAGATTAATATACTGACTGATTGATGGATATGATATTATTATGATTGGTGGATATATTATTATTAGCTGTATGTATTGATATATTGTAGTCGGCGAAATAATTTAGCGGGGACAGCACTAAAGTTAACTTTTTTACTTAGCAGCTACAAGACGATCGATAGCTAACTCTGGGGCCACAGATACTCAACTAGGATATTGTTGGGAAAGGAAGAAGATTCAAGACAACTCGAAAAGCAAACCGATAACATTATTATCAGAGTTATTTATATAGGATGCAAATGCAAATCATTGTTAATGATTGATGGATGTAGTTGTTTATATGTACTGTACTTATTATATCGTTGTCTAGAAATCTGTAACTTTGTATAACAATTATCAAAAAGTCAAAAGCTTTCGTCGGCATATACCCAGAAGAAAAAGCAAAGGAATATATTCGTACACCCAGAAGCCTTTACAGGTAGCATAATTAGTATCTTCTAAGATGAACATACATATTTCGACAACCCTATGTAACTATAATTTTATAAATCTGGAGTGGCCGACTAGCAGATATCCTGAGTTCATATTTAAATCTATTATGCTTCTATTCCTACCTTTATTGATTTCTTAAATTATTAATTTCTTGAAAAATTGCGCTTAAAATCGATATGTTTTAATAAACTGCACCTGCAATAAGAGAGAGCTGGGAACACAAGTACCCAAACCAGACTCACATTTCAGAGGGTGCAAAAAGCTCTCTTGAACGACTTTTGATGTTCGCGTTGAACGAACTGAGCTGTTGGCTCAACAAAGGAGAAATATCAAAAAGTGAGCAGATGGTCCGACGGCGTATCGAATTCAAATGCTTTACGGTTCTGTCATTCAGGTCGTGTCATGTCTTAGCTAAATGGGAATTGCTGGCAAGAGTCAATTTGTTGCTTACTTATTGCATAAGTAATTACTCTATATATTTAATTTATTTCGAAATTGCAGTTAATAGAGAATTAAAAGTAGCTCATAGAGTTCTGCGCAGCCATTAGAGAGACAGACATGCCACAGAAATATCGAGGCCTATACATAAGCTCTCTTGGCAGAGCTAAGCCCAGGCTCAGCGTCAATTGAATTCCGCCAGTGAGTATGCAACACTTTCGCTTTGCCCCGCCACCGTTGGGGGGCTCATTACAACGAATTGTGCCCACGGGGCGTTTCGTGTCAATTTATGCAACTCTCCTGCAATTTCCGGTATATTTAAGCAATTTCCAGCAGAACAGCCCTGGACATGGCCACGACTTAATGCATATGAATATGTGCGAGTGATGCTGCATTGTGGGTGTGATTGTGTGTGGGTGTGGGTGTGTGACGGAAATGCTCCCCTGGGCAATGGACGAACCAAACCAAGTCGTGTGAGTTGGTGCCCTGCCAGCGGCAAAGCTGCTCAGATTTAATGCCAAAAGCCAAGACTCTTAGTGTGGCCAATATCTGCGCAGAGTTGGCCAACAGCTTTTCAATTTTCCACCTAAATCAGAGTTTAGCCCCCGCGGCGAACCCTTTGCTTCCACCCATTGATGGAAGACACACTCACGGATGAGACGCAATAAAAATGATCCACAAAAAAAAAGAGATTGCGTAAAACTGTCAAAACGTTTTAACGGCATTGGAAGCAGCACAATAAAAATGAAAATGAAAATTCACAAGCAGCCAAATGCAATTTATGTGGCGGGTGGGTCTTCAAGTGCTCCTGGTCCTGCTGCTGCACCCAGGGGGACTGTTTGATTTACCGTCAACAGGAGATTAAAAAAAAAAAAAACTGAACCCAAAAAGTGAATTAAGAATTTGTGTGGTGGAACGAAGCAACCAATCGGAGGGTGGTTTGTTGCCACAGCTCTGGTCGGGTGAGGCAAATTGAGTTGCAACACTTGGCAGGTTTTTATCTACGCACCACAATCGAACCAGCCACGCAGACAACCAGCCATTCGGGTGGTTTGCCCACCAAAAGCCCGACTCTACCAACAACGTACTGACCAACCAGCAACGGCCAGCAACCAGCAAGAGCCGTGTTTTGTGTTGCTGCGCGTTGATAACAAGATTTGTTTTTCAAAATTATGGAGGGTCGGCACTTAATTACGTTGAAAAGCGCAACACAGCCACAGCCACAGCCACAGCCACAGGCAGAGCCACAGAAGCTACATCCCACATTCAGTGTCAGGCGGCAATTTAACTAAATTAATTTTAAAGCGTGCCTCGTTCTTCGATCTGTGAAAAGTGCCGGCAGAAGTCAAGAGTGTGTGTTTTGGCCCTTGCTTGATTTTGGCCAGATACGAGTATGGCCAACACAGGCAGACAGTCAGACAGCCAGATAGCCAGAGAGAATAAGGGAGATCCTATGCCTGATAGAGAGGGTAGCGACACACCCCCCTTAGACAAATGTGGCTGCCAGTCAGACAGTTAGCGAGTCAGACAGACATGGATATTCCATTAAAGCAGCCAGCCGAATTGAACAATTTACACTTTATGATTTATTGTAATGAGCTTTTTATTTACGGCCGCTCGTTTCATTGTTGAAAAGTGTCTGTGCGTTGCCTGCTTGACGCTTGTTTCTGAAAATTAAAAATTAATTAGGCATTTATCATTCCCTGCATACCCGTTTCGAGAATCGCTGGCAGATGGCTCGAGTTTCAGTTTTAGAAACGGGTGTTAGGGATCCGGAATAGGTTTCATCACATCGAATATTCAACTTAACCCCCCACTGCAAGTGTGTCAGCTCCTTATTCTGGGTCACTTGAATTATACAATCAAAAAGAAATGGAGTTAGTTTTGCATAATATATATTTTGAGCAAATAAAAGTGGTCTAGTCGAGACTGCTCGCTAGGAGATACCCTGAACAAACGGACTGATATTCCAATCCTTCTGCACTTCTTTTATACACAGGAATATTTACTCTTGTAGTGGGACTTCGTTCATGAAACTATCAGAATGGGAGCATGATGCTCAAATGTGCGTATATATCAGAGCACAAGTACTTGAAATACCTTTTCCATTTATCGATTAAAGAATTGGATGAACTATCGAACAAACTAATCTCGTACTGCGTATGGTATACCCGAGTATGTACATTTATAGAAATTTACAAAATTTCAAGTCTCAAGCTGTGATATCTTCTGAGATCTCGGGGTCATTACGGACGGACGGACAAGTTATTAAACAACTAAGTTTCCATAGTAATTCTTCGAATGGTTCGGAGGATTTCGTAGTCGAGCAGTCTCGACTAGAGCTTTCTTACTTTTTATACCCTGAACCCATTGAAAATGGGAAATCAGGGTATAATGGTTTTGTTAAAAGTA